GACACCCCGTGATCACACAGGTTGATATGTTGTTCTCTGTGGGCTTTGTTGCTTCTGAGCTTGATGGCCGCTTGGTTACCTTCAAGCCTTTAAGACCCCAAATGCTATATTTTTTGATAGCCGGGCACCATCAGCTTTCTTCGCCACATATGCTTATGCACCCATTTGTCTTCAGCGATCCCTTCGACGCCTCGTGATCACACAGGCTGATATGTTCTTCCATGTGGGCTCTGTTGCTTCTAAGTATAAGATTTTAAAGAAATGGCAAGACACTCACATATGACCCTCCAGCTTCAGTAGGGAGGGGAATCCAACTCCACACTAGCCACAAGGCAGAAAATTGCACAAGCCTCCAACCTTTACCCTCTGGTGATACTAAGCGTCTATCCCATGGTACTCTGCTTCTTTGCTGGGCTTGCTTATCTCCCTGCAAAGGCCACACAGAACTCACAGACAAGACACGCAAACATACTTCCTGATATCATCTCCTTTTCTTTGCTCCCCATCACAACTATCCTTAAATTCGCCAGGAAGTTCAGGTAAGAATATACACAGATTAGAATGTGGGAGAGCGCCCTGGAATGGTTATGCGTAGGCCTGCAATCTTCAGGGTCGGCAATTCAAAACTACTAGCAGCTCCAAGAACTGGGCTTTCTACACCTAGAAAGTTCTAGTCCCGGAAACCCACAAGGGTTAGCCACGAGTCTGCATTGACCTGAAGGCAACAAGTTTGTTGTTGGAGTGTGAGAAGACAAGGATTGAAAAATGAAGTTTAAAAAGCCAGATGATAAATGATTACTCCATTAAGATCTAATTTTAAAATACATCCAGTAGGAAAGAGAAGAACATCATGATCCAATCTGCATTTTAGAAACATAACTGGAAGAGAGAAAAAAAAGAAATCCAACTTGACAGAATAGAGAAAATATACTGGCAAGGGAGAGAAGAAAAACTATTAAAACAGTCCAGAAATGCATAGACGACAGCAAAGCAGCAGTAACCTGCAATACGCAGATGACACAACCTTGCTTGCTGAGAGGAGACGTGAAGCACTTGATGGAGATCAGGGAATGAAGTCTTTAGTACAGATCACAACTCAATGTAACAGAGACCAAAATCCTCACAACTTGACTAATAGGTAACATCATGATAAATGAAGCAAATGTGGAAGCTATCAAGGATCCCTTCTTGCCTGAACCTACAATCAATGCTCATGGCAGCAGCAGTCAAAAGATGAAAAGACGCGTGTGTTGGATAAATCTGCTGCAAAAGACCTCTTTAGAGAGTTGAGAGGCAAGGATGTTCCTCAAGGGCACAATTGTTTTCAGTTGCCTTCTATGGCTGTGAAAATGTGGGCACTGAATAAAGAAGACCAAAGAAGCACGATGCATTTGAATTATGGTACTACAGAACATGCACTGCCAAAAGAACCAATCTGTCTTGGATGAAGTACAGTCAGAATGCTCCTTAAACACAAGAATGGTGAGGTTTCATCTCACATACTTTGGACATGTTGTCAGGAGAGACCAGTCTCTGGGGGACATCATGCTTGGGAAAGTGAGGGACAGCGAAAGGAAGGCCCTTAACAAATTGTACTGACACAGTGGCTGTAGCAATGGGCTCAAGCAGAAGAACGATTGTGAGGATGGCGTAAGGCCAGGCAGCCTTTCAGTCTATTGTGGTCACTAGGGGTGGGAACTAACTCCATGGCACCTAACAGCAACGGGAAGGTGTGTGGTCATTCTAGGCTTGTAGTGGTGAAAGCAGAGGCAGAGAGCGGATCTGATCAGTTTCCGTAACAGAATCAACAGCAATTACAGGAAAGGGTATCCAACTGTCCCCTCTTCTCTATTTCAAATTGTTTCTCATATCACAGGCTAAATTGTCTTTTCCAAATCTGATGTTTCCTCCTCTGCTTAAAATCTTTGTGTCCTGCTGATCTTAGGGGTTTTTTCTGTTTTTTAGTCTAATCGACCTTATTAGCATTATAAACAAACAGTTCGAGGGAAGACTACTTAATAAATGACCCATGAATGAATGGACACATGTATGGACTAGAGCAGTTCACAGGTAAGTCCTCTGGAAAAGCTGCAAAGTCACACTCCATTCGTGTCACAATGTGCAGGCTGTCTGGTTTGCAAGTCCTCCAAAGCCTAGCAGTTGTGTTCAGCGTTCCCTTCTACCACCTGGTGGAACCGTTTTTCTCAGTCAGGACTTTGATTTGGGCTTGTCTGTGGGTCTGAGGGGCTATGTGACACCTAGCAAACTGTCACCGTACTGTGCTTGCTGTGTCGAGTATTTTCCTGTGGAGGTTGGATGGAAGATTGCTGGTTCCCAGGGCTCTGGCTCAGGGATACATGCCTTGGTGCTGACTCTAACTTGGGTTATGACTTTGGGCATGCAAGTCTTGGTACCTAGGTTGTTAAAGACCAAATGTTCTCACAATTCCGCTTAGAAAGTTCTGCGTGACCTGGTTTCTCTGCCATTCCCTCCAGCCTCAGCTTCCTACATTGTCCCTCATCCCCCAGCAGAATGCTTTGAAAACATGGGTTGTCCGTTGTATAACAAGCGCCCTGAAATGCTGTTTGTTCCTTCCTGCCACAGGGCCAGGAGTGTTCTTTTCTTTACATTCTTGCTTCACTTGATTATTTTGGGTTGTTAGTATAAATCCCCGTTATATATTTTATACTACTGTGTTCTTTTCCTACACAGTCTCCTATCACAACGTATGATTAATGTTTCGTGGAGTTCCTAAAGAAATGTTCCCTGGCTCAAGTAGAAAGCAAATGTTTTGAGAATGATGAGGGCAACAAATGTACAAATGTGCTTGACACATAGACGGATGTATGGATTGTGATAAGAGTTGTACGCGCCCCCAATAAAATGATTTTAAAAAAGAAATAAATCTTCCCATCCTCTAGTCTCTAAGCTCCTTGAAGACCTGGAGCAGCACTATGATGTTTGCCAGTGCATTTCAAGCTCGCAGCACAGGCAGGGCCTGGCATACAGCTAAATAGGAAAAAAAAAAAAAAAGGAAAGAAATCAGGATCAATTTATTTCCACCTGCTGCATCAGGTGCTTTTCTTCCCTTTCCAAATAAACTACTTTCTATTCGCTAAAAAGAAAGAAAGAAAGAAACCTACTGAATTAATGAATTGTCTAACTTGCTAAAACTCTGAAGTTCCCAGCTTTGAGGGCCACACTTTGAACTTGAGATGGAGATCCAAAGTCAGTATGTTGAATGATTGAGTCATCCAGTAAAGATGGCTAAGAGATGAGTGGAAAATGGAATATGCCACAGAGAAAACAAATGATAGGTAGTAGGATTTGGGACTCATTGCATCTTGCTAATAGTTGAGATTACACTCTTGAACTCACAAATGTCAGTGATTTTCCAGGAAGAGAATGCATTAAGGGAACTGGAACTTTTTCACACATGCCCTCACCTCCCTGCAACTGAAGGCCTCAGTCTGGAATAAGCATTGTTCACTGGCAGGTGTGCTGTACCTGTGAAAAATGTAGAAGCTGCATTTTTAAAGTTGGGAGCCATGACTTCATAAAAGTGCACCAGGGATACACATAATCTTTTGACTTCAATGAGTTCAGATGTGAAGGTGAAGCAGGTAAGGGATGGCCCAACCTTTTGTGATAGGTCAACGTCTTAAAGGGCAGCTAAAGAAAGTTTTTTCCTTTTCTTTTTAAAGAAACAGGCATTTGTAGAAAAGAGGGTAAGGGGAGAAGGCACGCCAAAAGCAACCATATACCCCCATTATGCACCAGGCACTGTCCTAAATCTCCAAATACATGAAATTCTCCTGAAAGTTCTTATTGTGCAAATGAGGAAACAGACACAGGTGATAAAGAAATCTGATCAAGGTCAAACAGCTGCTAAGTAGCATGCTGGGATGAGATTCCAGGTTTGTCTCCCAAGCTAAGTGACCAAAATCAAGAATACTCACTGGGGAAAAGTGTGTGTTTCTTTTTTTTTTTAAGACCTCTTGTCAAAATGCCAGGAAGTTATTGGGGGTGGATAATCTGGGGAAGAAAAATGAGAGCATTCTTGTTCTGAAAGCCTCTCTCCTTCAAGCAGAAGGAAGGAGTGAGATGGGGGTGGGGTCTTGAAAGGAAGAAAGGCTGGAGCGGGAGCTGTGGAGAAACGGGAAAGGCCAGGAAAAAGCAGACAGACAAAACCAACTGGATCCCTGAGCTCAAATCCTTAGATCCTGTGATGTCTACATTCACTTCCGAGTTAGAGGCCTACTGTTAAGTCGAGCAGGGTTCTAGGCGCTGAAGACTCCAAGTAACTTCTTTGGGGATAAGAGTCTGGGGAAGCAACCAGCATCGACTGCCCCCAGAATCTTGGAAACGCCCATTCTACCAGGGAAGCCCCCCCTAAAGGCATTTCAGAGCACACACCAAGGCAAAATTGGTTTTTCGAGTGGAGGGCGGGAGTAGCAGACTGAAGGACAATTCCTACGTGTCCTGGCTCCCAACCTGCACCTGGCCCCTCTCGGGAGACCCGAGCAGAGTGCCAGCTCCAAAGCTGCAGCCGTGGGCGGCGGGCAGGCGGCTCCCCGGGCCCCTCCGGGGTCAGGCGCAGCCCTTCCCCCACCGGCTCTGCCGCCCCAGGAGGTCGCCTCCGACGCCACCCTCTCGGGGGAGGGGGCGGGACACCAGCGGGCACTATCGCCCCACGCAGTCCCCTGACCAGCAGCCCTGCTCGGACTAGACCCCCCATAACAACTTACCCGTCCGGTCCGGCCCACGAAATCCCGGGTCTCTCTCGGGATACGGAGGACTCCCTGGCATTTCCACCAATGCCAGAGCGCAATCAGCGCGCGAAGGAGGAACTGAAGGGCTCGAACCAATCAAATCAGACGCAAGGCGCGTCCCGGCGCACAGAACTAGTTCCCGCCTTTGGGAGGTAAAAAAAGACACGGTTGGCGCCAAACTCCCGTAGTCTTCGGTGAAGCTTAAGGGAAGGGGCGGGGCCTAAATGTTTCGGTCGGCGGTGGGCGTGGCTAATCTGCGGAAGGGGCGGGGCCTCAAAGGGGTAGTGAAGTGAGTCTGGGAGGTTTCTAATGAAAAGGGCAATAAACTGTCATGTGGTGAGTCTGAGTTGTATCTTCTCACCCACTTATTCAATCTGTATTCTGAGAAGGTAAGCAGAGAAACTGGATTAGATGAAGAAGAATGTGGCCTCAAGACTGGAGGAAGGTTTATTAACCTGCAGTATGCAGATGACAGCCTTGCTTGCTGAAAGTGAGGAGCATTTGAAGTACTTGATGATGAAGATGAAGAATTGCAGCCTTAACCGATTACAAGGATCTACCTATAACCTTCTCCCTGGGGGATGGACAACAGAAAAGTGGGTGAAGGGAGACGTCGGACAGGGCAAGATATGACAAAATAATAATTTATAAATTATCAAGGG